CATGTGATTGGCTGATTAGAAATTAAGTGTTAACGAGCAGTTGGACAGGTGTACCTAATAAAGTGGCCGGTGAGTGTATATATATATATATACAGATGTCTACCATAAAACATTTTAAATCACCACTACAACACATTGCACAAAGCTAAATATGAAAAGTTTCCTGAAGTTACAAGTGCATAACCAACAGCAAATTTTACCAGAACTACAATCACACAGGAGTCTGTATTCAATGTATCTTATGCTGTTGCATTTCAGCTCACTAAAGTAAATTTATTTTTTGTTTGCTTCAAATGATTTATATTTATTAAACACAAGTACAACTGTTATACATGCAGTTGGTTATGAAATATGTTAAATTACTGCACTGTATGTTGGTTTAATAAACATATATTTTACATTATGGCATATGTGCACCCCTCCGGTAGTGTCAACAAAAACTCATGTCCCCTTCCATCATTAGAGTTGCCCATCCCTGATCTACAGCAGCAATCTAACATTTTCTTGCTGATTTATTCTCTTTGAACCTGCATCGTCCACCAGTGACAGGGAGAAAACAGGCTTTAGTTTCTTATTTAATAAAAACCACGGAGCAGACCTCCGGGGAGATATTTGCAGTCAGAGTGTCCTGCAGCTAAATGAGGAGCTTTGCAGCAGGCGGCTGAGCAGAAAATGGATTTGTAAAGCTTTTCACTCTGGTGCGTCTCTGCTCCATCAGTTCTCCATATCTGAGCTGAGGGTTGTAGAAAAAATAGTGTGTGTTTTGTGGGGGAAATGTTGCCAGCTGCAGATGGTGCGGAGCTGTGGAGTCAGTGGGAGTATGACCGATCTGTGCAGACATCAGACCGGCCCTCCTCCTCTGCTCATGCACACTCCGTAAAATGTTTCAGCATTGGACAGGAAAGAAAACACAATGTGAGCGGAGTGAACCTCACTATTAAAAATGCTGACATTTACACACAGTCCTGCTGTGAACGTTCCCTGAAGACTGATCCTGGTGATTCAACAACATTTTAAAGATTATTTGAGACAGATCTGAGCTGAAGGAAAATCTTCTCTAAGTGTTGTGCTTGTTAATGTGCGTGTGTCTGTTAGCGAAATATCTGATACAACAATGGACAGTGGTTTTACAGATATTGAGCTAACATTTTTGCTATGGTAGTCGCTGAGAGTTCTTCAGAAAACATCCTCGGGGTGCTAACAGATCTCACAACATTGCATGGGAAAAGGGATGACAGATATGCATTCCATCAAGTCAATTCTTTTAAATTAAACAGCATTTTCAAAACATATGAGGACCAAGAAAGAATTCAGAATATAAGCTTTAATCTGTTCCATTTACTTTAGCAACACTTCTTTCTGCTGTTGGTTGTTTGAAAACACCATGACCTCTCTCTGGTTCTGCTTCATGGCGTCTCACACTGGGTTTTACACTAAACGCTTCAGACAACAAAGCAGGAAGAGGAGAAGAGCTCAAGATAGCAATTTTAGTTTTTTTTTCACACAAACTCAAATGATTGCGTCTGAACTCCCTCTGGTTTGGAACCTGCAGCTTTCACAACCTTTTAAATGCACAAATAAACTACACAACACACTAAAAAAATGCAAATTATAAGAAAAAAAGATTGTCAGGATGTGTCACCTTGAAGGTGGCAGTCCCTTTCAGCTCCTGTTTGGGTCAGAGGTGTTTGCCAGCATATACCGGTAAGCTGAAAAATCGTTAAATCTCTTTTTACACATATTGAGTTTACATATACCTTCCTTTAAACAAACCCCTGCAGAATTAAATCAGAGCATTTACTGTATTTTATTGAAATGCCCACACACTAAACATCACTTTATTTAAGTGCATGTCTTTGGCCTTTTTAACTGATTGGAAGTGACCTCGTTTACTTTTGAACAGGCTCTGCTGCAGACAGCTCAGGTCACCTAAAGCCTCACATGAGTGGACTCTAATGCTCTTATATAACCACAGACCAACGCATTGTTGCAGGAATATTTATGCAGCATGAAAAATAAAGAGTTTATATTGTGACTGAGCTCTGCTGCAGGTGTTATCAGGTTTTGTTTCTCCTATAATAATTAACTCAAATAGGTCCCTCACAAATTGAATGTAAATTATAAAAGCAATGAGTAACTTGTGCTGTATGATGAACCTTATTCGATAAACCCAGCAGAAAATATTCACACAAGAAAAACACAAGTTTATTTTGGAGACAGGAGCTCAGTTAAAACCGAACTTGATACGACAACAAAAGCATTTCCTGTCATCTCTCAGATATTTTTAGATCATAAAGGGACACATTAAAAATGGATGAAAGAAACACAAGAGGGACCATTTTTCATTTCTTTAATCCTCCAATTTATTTAACAGTTTACTGTGATCCTGTTTCTGAATGAAATCCTGAGAGATGTCCTACATCTGTCTTTTCATGTCATCATCTCTCTCTCTCTCTCTCTCTCTGTGTGTGTGTGTGTGTGTGTGTGTG